AATATTAAATTGAACATTAATTTAGAAGGATAAAAAGTACTTTTTGACGGTACGGCAGCGACTTACAAAATAGTTTTACGTTTAATTAATTCCGAACTTTTCATCACACCACCAGTCCTCGTCGAGGACTTGGGTAGGTAGACCTACCTACCTATAATAGCTGGTGGCGCTATTTATTAAATAAAATTTACGGTTCTACCAGATTTACCTTTTTCGAGATTTGTAGCCCGATTTATTTTCGAGAAATTAATTTCATGAAATAACGGCTTCGGTATTAGTCCGCAACTTTTCTCGACAAGTTGGCCAACCAGCCGCGAAAAAAAAAACAGGATGGATATTTATTACCAACTGACGGTCCCGGGGAAGCTTCATAAATTATTTGAAAATTATTATTTACTTAATCCCAGGATAAAATATATACCTGCATCCTGTGTATATGTATATAGGAGGTTTTAGGTATTGACGGCGCCAGGATTAACAAACAGAAGTAGCGAAAGGTTTTATGGTATTGTAGGATAGCTACTGTAAGGTGTATCCTTTAACGATATTTGGGAGGTACAATCGGAGACAAGAGTACATAACATTAGAAATTCGCGATTGATTAGGTTTTGCAGTATATGTATCATGAGGTAAATAAATACTATCTGTAGATACTAAAAAAAGTATACGGTTTGAGAAAAACTTTGAATAAAATAAGAAATAACGAATATGGAAAATTTTTAACTAACTTTTGGCTGTGAATATGCCTTGATTTCAACTTCGAAACAAAAAAATTTTTAGTTTCAATCTCTATTAATAATGAGCGTAAAACTTTTTAATATGTTTAAATAATAATTAAAACTTTAAAATTGCATTTATTTCAGACAATTATAAATATTATCAAGTAAAAACGAGATTTTCAGCTAATTTTTCATTTTTTCCTCGATAACCATTTAATGAATTTGAATAACCTTACGCTAAAGTGATTCTCCAGAGTTCAAGTTACTTATTATAAAAGTTTGAAATTTCTGGTAGCTTTTTTTCTGTTAATAAAAATAAATTTAATCTGTTCGGTTAACGAATCTCCATAAAATGACGTGTAAAATTACAAATTTTTAAAATTTCAACAACTTCTTAACGGTTTACTGAATCGATTTGTAATTTTTACAGGAGTTAGAATCGAATGAGGAACGTTTTTCTAAATTTTTATTTGTCTCGTAGCATTTTGACATACCTCCCAAACATCCTTAAGCTTTAAGGATATAGAGTATTATATTTTGTAGTAGGTATCCAAGAAATTAATTAATTAATCGAAAATCTATTAATTGTTGTAAACATATCTGCCATTATTTGTTTGTGTTTTTATGTTTTCGCTCTGTATGATGAAGAAATGATCGATTGGATTCCATCCGTAGCTATTAGTTTAATTAAGACATTATTTTCCCGTCAATTAAAGTTAAAGCAATTTTATCTTTTCTCCTATTATTTTCCGGCTTTTTTCCTATGTGTATGTCGAATGCCATTTGACGTTAGAGCTGATTGGTTTCGCCGTTGGATTCACCACTGAATACTGGCGATTATTTTTATTAAGTTGTTGGAAACGGGTGTCGATGCTAACGTTGGTAATTGCTGTGGTTACTAATAATAATTTCCCTCCGATACCCCTCGACGATAAGACTACGTATTATACAGTCTTGAAACGTGTATAAATCGAAGTTGAGTGCATATTTTTTTTGATTTTGCGAAGACGCTGAGAGGACAAACAGGCAGATGTTGGTAAACCTGTTTCTCTCAGGTGAGATGTGTGATGTAAAATGAGGGAAAATAATAGCAAATACCTCGTTATGATGTTTCAACCTACGTCAACCCGTGTACTGAACTTAATCTCCTGATTAATAGCGATCATTAGATAATGACCGCTATCGCAAATAACGTTATCTTTATAAATATAATTTATTGTTCCTACATAAGTTAAGTGATAAATTGGTGTCTTGAACTAATTGATATTTCACGAACGTCCAAGAAAATTTTCAAATTTTTATCCCTTATTAGGTCCCTTTAGAATGTATGGTTTGAAGAATACAGAGTTTGAAAACGTTCACGTTTCAGTAGCTAAATCTCCCAAACTATCAAAGTATGCACATATGTTTAAGTCGTTAAAGTAAAAAGTTTTAGTTTTTGTGGTATAATTTCAAAAACATGTGCTGGATTGATATTAAATTAATGTTAAATTGCCAGATGATGTCGGTGCAGGGGGGACAGCAATTTACACACATGTTACTTGAAATACATATTTCTGGAATTATTGGCGTCTACACTGGAACCCAGAAAGACTTCCTAGAATAACTTAACAAAAGCTTCTAATAGCACCTCTATGGAAAGGCGGGTCTGGTTGAACATGCCAAAGTATTTTTCTTTTACTTATTTCATTCGGTTTAAACCTAAGTCTCAAAAATAAAGATATCTTCTTAGAATTCGGCAAAGAGCGGTCTCATATTTTCCTTTAATTATTTTTGTTTGTTTTGCTCCAATTTTTTAATAACGTCTCACAACCAGGTTTTATTAATGGATGTTTTCTTTTAATATTTGCCTAATTAAAACGAATGTTTCGTTTGAGACCGAATTGGAGATGCTAATTTTTATACATTTTTTTGTTTTGTCCGGAGTCGAGTAGCAGTTATTAGTCGATGGTGAACGTCCCACGAAAGCGAAATAAAAGAAACGTCATTTTACTAATGCGAATTGGTGCGTGCATTAGAAGAGATATACAAATTAGTTTTCGGTACCTGTTCAAACGAAATAATTAATTAAACGAGCGTGGAAAGACATGCGATGTAAGATATGGACGACGACTGGGGAAGAAGAAGACATAGGTGTTATTCGTGTAGGATTGAAAATTCGTTAATTGGCGTGGAATTCACGTGCGCCATAGGTACTACACTAATTTTGGCTGCCTTGCATCTGCTTTTTGATTTTCCCGGACCCCCTAGTATACGGGACTGAGGTGAATAACCGACTGTTTAGAATATTGTCAGCTAATTTTAGGATTCTACTTTCGTCCACGTTTCACAGTCGACGCATCACAGACGTCTGTCTTTTCGACTAGCAGCGCAATTTTGCAAAAAAATGGGCAATATTTGTATCCAACTTCGTTACAAACGTCAAATAAAATTGAATATTGACAATTACCTTTATTATTCTTAATAACTCCACAACAATTATCCGCATGAGAAAAAAATTCGGTAAAGTTCTAGATGATGGGCCCCACCCCCGAGGATAGCTGGGATCGAAAGAGGAGGTCTCGCCCACCACTGTACCATAAAAATTTCGTGGCGGCCTCACCCCCATAAAAAGCTATGGGGGTTGAAAGTTGATTATTTTGACAATTTTCATACACTATAATCGAAATAAAATTCAATAAAATAATTATTTTCAAGCGGGTGGAAGTGGGGGATCGAAAGAGGGTGGTCACTTGAACAATACCCGATAACCTAACCTAACCTAACCTACCCTATTGATAAAGATATTTAAATAATGTTTTATATAACTTCCTCAATATTTTTATGTATTTTTCATTAGTTTTACCTTTGAATATTGTTTAAGAATGACTATATAAATATTTACATGCCTAGAAATGTATAAAAATTGGCATATTTATTAACTTTGAACCCTCATAACTTTTTATGGGGGTGAGACCGCCACGAACTTTTTATGGTACAGCGGTGGGGGAGACCTCCTCTTTCGATCCCGCCTACCCCTACCCCCAAAGGGGGTGGGGGCCATCATCTAGACCTTTACCAAAAATTTGTTTTCCAAGCACCGCTGCGATATCTACTGATTTTGATTGGGATTTATTGAAATTATGGGCTAATCTTTGGGGGTTAGTTATTTTTTAAACATGACTATAAGCCTTTTACCTACCACAAGTAGCAATTGATGAACTTATTTGCATAGAAAGTATTTGTATAGGCGGTCATCAAATTAAAAATCAATTAAAACCAATCGGAAGAAGGAGATGTTCTCATATAAGTCACATTTTTAATTTCGTCATTAATTCTGTCAAAGTCGATCGTTCTGTTTTCAATTTTCAAATCCATTTCATCGCACACATCTGAACAAGTGATCGAACAAGAAAGATAACAAACTCGCTCCAGAACTATATTAATAATTTATGATGTGTGTGCGTAGTATACATATAGATTGTAGGTACAAGGTCGATCGTATTTTTTTTTTTTTTAATCTTTTCTATGTGTAACCGTCGTCATCGTGTGGTAGTCGTAAGACGAACAACCGGTACTGAAATTAATAAAAATGGCTGTACGTTGTGGTCACATAATACATATAAAGTTACTACCAAACTAAAACCGAATTGGCATAAATAAAAAGCGAACAGTAACTGTTATAATCGTCGGCCGGTTTTCTATCGTGTATAATTAACACAGCGGTAATTAACAAGCTTAAGCCTGTAGATCGTGAATATATATTTATATTGAAGAAGAAGGAATTCGGATAGAGGTAATATTAATAATTTATTCTTGGAAGACCTTTAAAATTATATGCTTACAACATTGTTTTATAAGGAAGGTGGGTATAATAAAATACCTTTACGGAAGATAGGGTGTTGTAATAATAAAATGTTCTTCTTCTACGTCTCTTGTGTATAACAAGACGGAAGGCCGGGTCTCCGGTCGACTAGTACATGATGGTGTTGAAAGATGATGTTATCGCAGTTTTCGTATAACGCACGGAATTCCAAATGGACTTCCAAAAGTGCTTGGGAATGGTTTGGTTTTACCGATCATTTGGATTCTTATATCTACGTAGGTACCTACGTGACTCTAATAATAAAAAACGAATTCGAAATGTCTCCTACTTGCTGAGCCGATCAAAATTGGTTTTTTTTTTCAGTTGAAGTCGTTCGAGAGCAGATTGAAAGCAAATTGGTACAGCGTTTATACGCGATAACTGACGGTGTATGTTTTAACATGTCTAAAATCTATATCGAGTTTTTTTCTTTGCAGGATAATCCCCAAAAATGATTATAAGGAAAGATAATCTTATAATTATTTGGCTGTGTGTTCTCTCGTCGGTGATGGGGTACGAAGAACAAAAGTTCGCGATGGAACCCCAAGATCAGACGGCGGTGGTTGGTTCCCGGGTTACCCTACCGTGTCGGGTAACCGGTAAGTCGGGAATTTTGCAATGGACCAAAGACGATTTTGGACTGGGAACGCACAGAAATCTGAGCGGATTCGATCGATATACGATGATAGGAAGCGACGAAGAAGGTAGGAAATTTAATTTATATACTTATAAGGGTACACATTTAGGGATAAGAGTAGGAGAAGGAGTTACTTCTTTGATGATGGAAAAACGTATGGCATCAGTGAGGTCTAAAATTAATAAAATGATCTTAGAAAGCAAAAATAAGAAAACTGAAGACGTAATTAAATAATTTAGAAGAAGGCTTTTCTAATCTGCCCTTTATATGCGAAATAAATAGCTAGGTAGGCGGTCTTGTAGCTATAAGCTAAGCTTTGACATTAGAGAATCCTTTGTACGCGCAGGGTTCAAATAGCGAAAGATTTTAATTTACATAAGTATTCATAGGCATATAGTTAGGAAAAGTTGCTTTTGAAATACTATACGCTATACGGGTAAGGCGACACGCTTACCGAACGTAGAAATTACACATTTCTTGGTAGAAATTTTTCTTATGTCGCACGAGAGGAAAAGGATAAGTTGGTGAATGTGTTGAATATGCTTTTTCGATCACGTCTATTTGAAAATATCTTCTGCTTCTTTGAAAACTATTCTAAAGTGATCATCATCATAGGGTCGTCAGTCCTAAGACTGGTTGGACACGCACCTCCACACTTTCCTATCCTGAGCTAATCTTCGTATTTCCCTAAAACTAGAACAACCCACATTTAACTATTTGCGTTTGTTTGTTTCTGCCTCTAATATGTCTCTGACTAGACCTTCATGTCTGAGAAGGTGTTCTACCAACCTATCTCGCCTGTTTTTAATTGACTTCCATAGAGTCCTTTGTTCTCCTATTCTTTCCAATACGTCTTCATTTCTAACCTTATGTATCCACGATATCCTCATCATTCGCCTGTAACACCACATTTCGAACGCTTCTAACCTTTTCTTTTTCGCCGCGCCTACTATCTATGTTTCTCACCCGTACAACGTCGCGCTCCAAACATACACCTTTAACAACCTTTTTCGAATTTCTAAAGTGATACAATTCTCAAAATCTGTTGCTTGTATTGGACTTCGAATTTCCCTACATCTCGTCCTTATTTTCCAGAAAATGTTTGCGCCCTTTGACAATTCCAAGTAGTAGAATATCCTTACGTCCGGTTGTCAACTTGCCACTAGGGTATACACACGTAGAAGTAAATTTCTTGCTTGCTTTCCTGTTAAAACGTTCGCAATGATCAATTCTAGTTTTGAGTTGGTCTTTTTCAGTCGAAAAGCGATGACTTTCGTAATTTATAAGGTTGACAGATTAACTTCGTGCCTTACCCTGGCGTCTTTAAAACAATTCTCCTTTTCTGCCGATACACGCTCACGAACAACTCGGTGTCTCGTTCACGCTACAATTTACCATTACGATCAAATAAACCTGAAGCGAATTGTTTATTTACATCTAATTTAATTTTGAAGGTTTCTTATCTCAAAGACAAGAATAAAAATCCTTTTCTAATAAGGACTAAATGCGATTTCTTATCGTGGTAGGAATGTTGTGTCGTGTACGGTCCTGGAGAAGAATGTGTGGTCCGGGAGGGGATGTCGTACTTTTTTCCCTTGAAGCGTAATTTACTATTTGTGTTTCCTGTTTCTTACAAAAAATATTTTGAAAGATATTGTGGAATATGTTATTCCTTTCGTCTGCTTGTGGAAGTGGTGAAAGACATCTTATTGTGTTGGAAAATAAAGTATAGTACAAATTAGTTTTCTTTTGGAAGCAAGTTGTGTAGGTATACGTAAGTATTTGTGTATAACCAGGCCGGGTGTTAGTTAGTTTAAAGGTGTATTTATGTGAGCGCCTTGTTGCTTTGTAATCGGCTACTTTTCTTCGTAATAATTCACAAACTTTCATTACAACTTTCTCTGTATACGTACGTATATGTAGTACAAGTACAGAAAATCGGATTAGGTTGCTTTGCATAATTAAAATTTTCATTTGCTCACACGTTCTACTGTTGGTACAAACGAAATCCTTATCGGCTTGTGTTCATTTCATTCTTGTATATATATTATTAAAACCAGTATCATTTTAATTTTCCCGGTTTACTTACTGTCTTTGTTGTCTAAAATGTCTCGCAATTTTAATTTTCGTTCAACGCAATGGGCGAAGCTTTATTCGTTTGCGACATAATTGCGAGTTCTTTTTAATTAATTATGATTACTATTTATTAAATCGGTTATTGCAAACACCGAAATATTGATTTGATAAAACGCAATAATATCTAGTAATGAAAACAAGTAACAATTCCTTGTTACTGTTTGCAATAATTGTTTAGTTCTCGTTTAAAGTACGAAACAATGTGCATCGTATACAATTTATATGTGTGTTACATTGTCGACAAAGTTTTTCTTCGGTTTAATTTGAAAATTAGTTTGTTTTTGGTGTATTTAATAACCCCTCTAATTCTATTTAAAACCATTTTTTTTTCTTTAATTAAAAATGAAAAATAAGGAGAAAAAAATTGGTTTGTAATGTTTTAAAGAATCTTGAGCTAAAAACCTCTCAATCAGGTTCTTGATACGTCAAAGGTAAACAAAGCATGGTAAAGAATCGAAAAAAGATAAAACGATTAGTCGATAAAAAACGTCTCATCTTAATACATAAAATAAGACTTCACATTCTTCCCTCATCATGCAGAGAAACATCAAAAGCCGAAAACGACGAAGTCATTAGAAATTCACATTTCAATAGCCTTCCAACACATAAGTGCTGTTTAATAATCCAAAATTTTACGGCCTCAAGGCCTACCGAAACGTCTCAAATTTACGACTGTCTTTTATTTTAAACCCCATGGGTCTGTACACATATTGTAACGGGACCCATATATTGGTATAAACTATTAAAAGAAATGAATTTCGAAGATGTAGACGCAATAAAATAGCTCAGAAAAATACGTGAAACAGTCGTCTCGCAAAGTCATTTCCTGTTTCGTTTTTTTTTTTAAAACAATTTTGTCTGATGTGATCATGAACATTAGTTACAAAATTTTTTGATTTTGTAGCGCTTTTATGACCTTACGTATCGTTTTACTAATTTGGCTGCATCTTTTTTGTGTTTTTCCTTGATCGATGGTTAGTTTCCTTTTTGTTTTATTTCAATAGCTTTATAGCTACCCGGCTAGCGCTAAATCACAAAGTGCTGAAATTAGGATTTGTGCGTGAAACTCCTATTAACCGGTAATTGTATGTAATTGGCTGATTTGGTTCGTATTATTTCTGCAATTAACCAATATAAACGTGAGGAACCGATTTTAATGTAGCAGGCTTTGCGGTCTTTCAATCGAACAAAAAAAAATAAATAAAATTTACGCCATTTTAATCACGCTTGTAGGATACACAATTAGGACTTTTTCACGCCTGATACTATTTATAATGCGACAGCACCGACAAAATGAGAGACTTAACCATGACGATTGATTATTTCGTGAAAATTATTCGTTTGGAAAAACATCATTTAACAAAAAAAATAATAATAACAATACAGTTTGAATTTAATCGAATAGCGAGCACACTCTTTTTCTAGTACCTATACATGTATACATAATTAATTAATTAATTCATTCGGATACATTTAGATATGTGCTTGTAATAATAAATTTGATTTATCGTGCATTCTCGTAGCTCCATTAAAAGTATAATTGTTCATTCATCCCATCATGCAAATTAAGTTGTTGATATGATAGAAGAGTAATTAAGAATACTAAACACTAAATATTCATGCAGAAATATTTGGCGCCACCTAAAAATTAAGAGATAAAATTATGGCTGGAACGCCGTAATACATAACAGATAAATGTACATGTACATAAATGTATCACGATGACCCACTTTCTTTAATTAATTGTCCAAAAATGTCCACCTTGCCTACATATTACTATGATAATGTCACATGCCTAGAACATAACATTTTAACAAGTTTCTTTGTGTGTGTTGAACATCGTTTGGTGTACCTTTTAAATATTTTATCTTTTTTTGGGATGTTGTATATTATGTATAACAAAAGCAAGTGTCGACATGGTGGCACCTGTTACTGAGAAAATAATTTCTATACGGGACATTTTATAACAAAAATTTTCTCACATTATTAGGTATTTGCCATCCATTAACTTGGGCAAATACACAACATTTTATGGCAGTCAATATTTCACTGGGGGACGACCGGTTTTTTCTTCGTTTTCGGACTCAAATAACCGTTCTACATGTTTAAGATATTATAATATGATGGTAAATGTGGAAAAAATCTTTCTAACATGTATGCAAATTAGGTATCTTTTAATGCGTACCATACAATACTGTATGCTACGTAGCGTCACAAATTGGAAGAAAAAAATTGATTTATTCGCTTATAAATTGGTATCATCTTCGTGTGAGTGTTAATTTATATTTAGGTGCAGTTAGGCTACTAAATTCTGGAGCTGGAATGTATGTTTCCGTTTTCCATTATGATTGATTCGTCTATAACGCCACATCTTTCTTTGCTAAAAGTGCAATATCATTCGCAAAATGGAGCATGCTGATCTTTTGCTCCCGTATATCAATCCCGAATGTTCTTCTGTCTTTAATAATAGTAATAGCGTCGTCAATGCCATCCTCGTCATCCTCAACATCATCATAAGGTTTAGATTATGTTGTCTTTCCAAATTATCTCAATTGGATCACACTGTGAGCAGTTTTCTCCCTATCTTGGAATCCTTACTGTTCAATTCGCAACTGATTTGTAGTTTTGCAATCTTGTAATCCTTGTTGTCCAGGTACAACGAGATTGCTGATTCCAGAGGTTGAAATCGGCGCCCAAATTCTTTATCTAATCACAAAATAAGTCGTCACCGTAGTACCTACAGATTAAAAATTATCTTCCTAATATTTACTTGTGCATTTACGTTCCTGTTCAAACCCTTCAAGTGTCTGTAACTTGTAATATTGTATCATTCACTCTTCTTACTCTATATCCCACACATCGAATGGAATAATAAATAAGTTAATGTTGCTCTGACGCGATTATACGCAAAATACGGATTGCTTTTAGCAA